GACTAATTTTTTCGGACTGTTATTTGCACATTGCCGTCTAGGGATTACACTGTACTGTTTTAACCCATTATTATTGAACAAAGGATAACCTGATGGTTAACTTCGATGTATTTTATTGGCAATAGCCATTAGCCACCACCAGATAACAATAATTGCAAGCGCTGGTACACTACGTATAGTTAAATATTAGACATTAAAAAAACAACCAAAATCCACGTCCTCTCTCGGGTTAAAGGCAATGTACTCAAAACAGCCGAAGCATTTCCTTGACGACAGCTGAACTAAAACACTGCTCAAAGAAGCTTCGCCGGTTATGTCCCGAATCCTGCGGCCATTTAAATGCAGCATTTCACTCAAAGCAGGGCCAAAAACTCCCAGTGTCTCAATAACCAGCGGATCGAAAAGGTATATGTTTTCCAAAAGCGAATAAGTCCGGCGTTTGGATTTTTCAGCCAACTGCGACAAACTTCCAGCTTTCTTCGTGCCTCTGGTAACGCTTGATAGAAAGAAAATGTTTCATGTACGATGCAAGAAATTCTTGTGGCACAAGTCGATTTTTATGAGCTGCTTGTACAGTACGTATAGCTGTCTGCGTCAATTTAAAACGGCATTTGCATTTGCTTACAAATGCAAGTACCGTTTTGCAAATACACTTGCCAGCAACAGCTCGAATTTTCTATGAACTATACTCCTTTTGCTGATTCAGTAAGAAGCTTAGCTCATCCATCAACGTTACTCGCCTTGGGGAATCGTTGATTTACAGGTTATTTCATCTCTTGCCCTCTTTTGTGGCTGCTCGACAGAGAACTCGCTCATCAGCCTGAGCAACTGTTCTACATGTACTATTAAACTATTGAAAGGCCATACCAACAGAGATGGACTCTGGAGCATTATCAAGTTTAGGTGAATGAACTGCGCACCAGTACGGCATACCAGTCGATTGATACTGCGCAGTGTGCACCAGTCCATGGATAGCGGATCATCAATTCATCATCTAATCGTTAATGGAAAGAGATGAATCATTAACGGCAAAAGAATGATCGAAGAAATAAGACAGTAGTGCATATATTGTTTTCCCCCTCGCCCTCAAGACCGGGACGGAAGACTGCGTAGTCGTGCGGCTGTCAAAAAGAGGAAGTAAGAATACAAGAAAGGGAGTGTTTTTGGATAAAAACAGGTGGGAAGAAATAAAGGAAGGGGTTCGGTATGCCTTTGGAAATCGCGCAGGTTGCACAGCGTGTTATGGGTGTGGTAAATCACTGTGGTTCATAAGGTCATATTACGCCTGGTTGTCCTTATGCAATCTGTTTAATAGCGGCAGGATTGTCACCTTGGCAAAATCTGTAGAGCGCCAAGGAGATGTCTTTGCAGTCGTCGAGGTATCCGAAGAACAAAAAAGAGCCATAAGATGTTTCACGAGCTTTCTCTATTATTACTACTGGGTACTCGAATTTTTCCGTTGAATGTCAATATCAAAGGTGTCCATAGAATTAGAGGTTTACGGCCATGCTGCGCCAAGTGGAGACAGTTGTATAAAACAGATTATAAACTTCTTGCATGATGCTGAGTTGCATGCACCGTTTTGTTTTTGTTTTCGAACACTGCTAGTGTTACTGTTATCACGAATTCAGAACTGTCGAAACCGCTACTTTCACATGTGGCAGAAGCGAGGCAAGCGGTGATTTAGTAGACAGTGTGTTGATTGGTTTCATTGCCCCTATAAAAACTGCCCCTTTAAAACTGCGCTTTAGATACTGTAGCCGCTAGATTAAATGGCACCACAGAGTCTTGTGTACGGATAACGACGCACACGCTGCTCGATGTTCTACGTAGCGGGTGCGATATCCAGCAGGTGGCAGGCTACGGCCGGATCTAAACGTGGTGCCATTTCATCTAGCGGCTACAGTAAATTATTGAGAGTCATAAGAGGTGTCCGTTTTAAGCTTGACAAAATAATCGTGCTCAAGCGGTCATCACGTAAAAACGGCGGGTTCCCATAGACTACTGTGTTTATGGAAAAACAGGTAGCCTAGCGCGCATATTGTGGTAACTTTGTAAGCATGTTTTCCATAGATGACACATAGGCAACATAATGCAAATTTGGGTTTTGACTGATATAGTTGTTGTCTGGACTCTCTGAACGCAATACCGCGGGCTTACTGGGAGGATAGAGAGACTCAGCCTGACACTCACAAGTTCCTGAATGAGATTTTACTAAAAAATTTACACAAGCCTTTCAGCAAGTGTACGTCAAGCATGCAGACAGGCTTATCCTCCAGTTGACTGGTGCCTGCAACCAGACATTAAGCACCTGGCTGGGATCGGCTGGTATACGTACACACCATTTCGCGGTTTTTAGGAAGATTCGGAAATTGCGCCGAGGAATTTACCACATCAGGCAACTGAACATCGCTTTACGCAGTGGAGATTTGCTGCTTGGCATTTGTTCGTTCGTTCGACTTTTAAAAATCTTTGTAATCGAACCGGCTAGGTATTATAAAATGTACTTAGGCCTTGTCCCGAATTCAAAGCGAATCTCGCTATGGTACGGTTGCTCAACCGCACGAGGTGGCTGTATGCAGTGGCCACGCCTACAGATACGGTACGCGAAGCCACCTCGCGAGGTGGAGTTGCTGTATCGCAACGAGATTCGCTTTGAATTCGGGACGAGGCCTTCATAAAAGGCTTCACTTAATGAGCTTCAGACGCTGGAGATATTAACGAAATTCTGCTCTGCGAGTGCCACTAGCACTTCCGGTGGTGTAAAATGTTCAGAATGAGGTTGTGGAAATGTTATCCAAAATGAAACGATTCCCCGATATAAAGATATAAAGGCCACGGGTAAACTCGAATACTGGCAACGTGACTAATGAAGTAACAAACAATTTTTTTTTCGTTGGTGTGAGCGCAGGCGTACATGCGTACACCCTCGCTTTGGCAGTCTGTTGTGTTTTGCTGCACGCCCGCCTTACGCGAGGCGGAAGCACGCTGTTCTGCACGCACCCGCACCGTGTGGCGGCTACGTGCACATTTTCCACGCTTGCTGCAGTCAGCAATGCGGAGTTGTCCACGAGGAAATTCTTACGAATTTAGTCTGGTTATAAATTTCTAGCAATCACGCCGTTTCTCGCTTTCTGTAGCGTAGGCGTATTTATAGCATTGCTAGTCTTTTTGGTAGGCAGAATTCCGTCAATTCTGTTCCTACGCGTGAACCTTCATCAGGTCCACGCTCATATGGTAGCAAGAGTCGTGTTTCTCCAGGATAATCTGTGAGTTTTTTCCGTCCATCCGACGAGGTGTGGAAGAAGTCTCGCGAGAAAGGGCTCGCGTACGGTCCAGTGGCGAAGGAGCGTTTGGATCTCGACAGCAGATCAGCACCAGTGTGTCTCTACTGAGTAGAGCACGCTGTACTGACCTGACGCGATCAAGGCTACTGAAGTAGCTCTGATCGGAGGGCACAAGCGCCGAAAAGATCGCCGCAAGAGGCAGAAGCCCGAAGGGGGGGCACGAGTGGGCAAGCCACTTTTGGCTGTCGGGTGTGGAGTTTTCAGGTGCGTCTCTACTGAGTAGAGCGCACACATTATACGCGCTCCCCCAAAAAGGAGGTCGAGCGCCCCTGTCGTTGCTAACGTCAAGGCACGACAGAAGACCCGCAGCCAGCAAGTCTTTTGGTCGACGCACCGCTGCGTCCTGTCGCATCGAGACAGAAGGGGTTAGCGACTGGCCCAGGAGAAGTCAGTATAATCGTTGGAGGAACTGGAGGATTCGCGGAAGGACGCGCAGGATCGATTTCTGGATCACGGAGACGATCAGGTCAGATTTTCGTTTATTAATTTCGCCATTGGCGTAAGGGTAAAATTTGCAATTCTGATTGGTCGGTGATGAGCTGAGCAGAAAAGTAGGCGGCACTTTTGCACACGGCGCGCTAGCGAAAATTTTCGGATTTTGACGTGACGTCACTCTGCCTTATAATTTGAAAAACAACTCACCTGATTGGTCGTTTATAAACGCTGTGATTGGCGCAGACGTAAAGCTAAAGTTAGCTTAGAAGTAAGCCAATTAGAAGCTGAGATTTCGTAAGGAGGCGGAGTTTTGCGCACGGCACTCAAGATTGTGACGTAGCTAACCAAGAAAATTTTCTGAACCAACTGACGAGAAGTTGACCTTTACCAAAAATTTTGACGAGATTGATGACCTTTAGCAAAAGCTAAAAGCTGAAGAAATAACGTTCGTTCTGAGGAAATCTAAGTTGATTTCTTAATAAAATCGAAAAATATTCTCAGGTTAGACATTTCTGACCGAAGTTGATAGTGACCTTTAAAAACGAAAAATTCGGGAGAAAAAGTGACCTTTAACAAAGTCGGAGTAAGCGTTAAGCTGAAACAGTTGATGACCTTATTGAGTTGAGTTTTGCTGAAGGAAGAGACCTTTACGAGAACTTAGTTAAATTTCTGAAGAGAAAAGTGACCTTTAGAAAGGACTTAGATCTTTTAAAGGCAGAGTGACCTTTAGCAACTGAGCTCGTACGATACGAAGTGACCTTTAGGCCAGTGCTTGTTACTGTTCACGTGTAAAAGTCGCGTAACGTAATCTAACACACGTGTCAGAAACATTATTAGCATCGTCCAAGTTATCCGATCATCAATAAACCCAAAGACATGGATCAAGATACAGACGGTAATGAACCGGTCTCAGCGGGTAGTCAGAGAGAACGGTCAGAAAACCCTTACGAGCGGAAATTAAAGCCGTTCACACGTCCAGTGGAACATGAAAGAGCAACTCGAGCTCAGAAGACCTTTGGGAGGAAGGACACCAAAGGTTCAGAAGCCACATACCAAAAGGCTCTGAAGGAAACCTTGAACAAAGAGAGCTCGAGTGATGGAAGTCAAAACTCTGGACGGCACGCCGATGACGGCACGGTAGACCAGTCAAAGGTCACCGAAGAGAGAACGGCTACGGATGGACAGAATAAAGATGACTTGAAGGCCGAGACCGGAGGAATGGCACGGTCGGCCGAAAAGGTCAAGGAGGAAAACGCGGACCAAGCTGAGAAGGGAAATACCGAAGTCAGCCAAAAGGTCACCGAAGGTGGTGGCGCCGTCAGCAGCGACATGCTGATTGACGAAGGAAAGGTCAAACAGGATGACCTTTCGGAAAACTCACTGTTCTTACAAGAACAGCTGGAAGAGAACGGTACCAGCCCCACGTCAAGTGACAAGTTTTACACTGACGATGAAGACGAAACGACGGTACAGACGTCTTTCCATACGGCAATGAAGGAGGCAAACTTAACGAAAGGAATGTTTGATACGACCCTCCAGGACAAGCCAGAAGAGACCTTTGAAGGAATGGCGTCAGGAAGAGCCGACGACCGGGACCAAAGGTCACCATCACCAAAAACATCCGTAATGAATGGCTTAAAGCAGCGTGTCAAGGAACTCGAGCAGCTACTTGACGAGAAGGAGAGCCAAGCATTCGCTGCCATTCGAGAACAACGGAATAAAACTATCGAAGTCGAAGCAAGGCTGTATGTGATGGAGCAAGAAAAGGTCACGCTCGAAGACGAAGCGCAACAATGGAAAGTCAGATTTGAAGTTCAGAAACAAGCAGCGGAAGATCTAAGGAAAATGGTCGAAGATCGAGACGCGGAAGGCATACTCATCGCAGAAGAAGACGGTCTGTCCGAGGAAGCAGCTGAAAGGTCACAGGAAATAGCAGAATTGAAAATGAGCGTGACCTTTTACAGTCAAAGGTCAAGGAGGCCGAGAAAAAACGTGACGAATCTCTAGCAAATGCGACGAAGTTCACCGGAAAGGTCACCAGCTTGACGGCTGACATCTCGAAACTGAAGGATGACCTTAAATTACGCGAAGACCTTGTCAACACGTTACAAGCAGAATTAAAAGAGATGAAAAGGAAACACAACGAAGCGGAAAGCCAGAGAGATCAAGCAGCAAAGGAACTGCTTGAACTGGCTGAAATAACAAAAACTGAATTCAAGCGACTCAATGACGAAATCGACAACCAAAAGAAAGAAGCAAAGAAGTGGTTGAAGGAAGCACAACGGTGTGACGAACGGGTCACTGTGCTAGAAGTCGTGAATAAAGAAGGAAAGACAGAAAATGAAAAACAAAAAGAAGAGATCGCCAAATTGAGCGATGAATCAGTCGGATTGGCTACTTCCGTAATGGAAAAGGATGATAAAATTACGGAACTAAAAGTCCAACTGAAAGCAGTTGAGGAAGAGTGCCAAGCGAGAGGAAGGACCCTCGCAGACAGAGCGGATCGTATTACACGATTGGAAGCAGAAGCTGAGATCCTAAAAGCAGCGAAAATGGATCTCGATAAGACCCTTGATAACAGGGCCAGTACAATCTTCGAGCAAATGAGAAAGGTCACCGAAGCAAACAACGATTACGAGAAACTGCGGAAGGACGCAAATGAAACCGTGAGACAGCTACAAGAAACAATTAAACAAAGAGACGAAGAAATCAAGACTCTCAAACGCTCGGCAAAACAGAAGGAAACTGAGATCCAACAGCCGGAACGAATCGAATCTCCGCCCCCTGGATACGGTGAAGTCCACACCGTCGAAGGTAGCTTTCATTTCCAAGCTCCCTTAAAGACGGGGACTGGCCGAGACGACGGCCATGATAAAGATAAGGTCAAAGCTGAAAAGGTCACCGACGATACTGAGTTGGCGAAGGGGCACTCAGGACCGACCGGTGGGGTCAATCCTCGGCAACAAGAAACAGGACCGAGGAAACAATCGTCTACAAATCTGACCATCAACCAGATAATCATGAAGATCCACGAGTTCGCCAAAACGAGCAGGAAAGGTAGCTCGTGAAGAAGAGAAGAGCGAAATGAGAGCAATGCGAAAGTCCGCGCTGATCGCAACGGCAACCGAGAAGCCTTACTCGGTTGGATCCGTCAGGTCAAGGAGACTCAGAAGACGTATGACCTTTCGGATGCAGCAATGATGCTGGAAGTCGCCAACGCAGTCAAAGGGACGCGAAGGCATGGTTTGACGCGGAAAGAGAAATCGATGACGAAGAAGAGGCGGAAGAGTTAACCGTCGATGAATGGATGACAAAGTTCAAAGAACATTTTGGCGATCGTGACGAAGGGTCAACGCCTTACGAGAAGCGATGACGAGAAAGTTCGAGGCTGGCAAAGAAACGCTTGACCAGTTCTATCAGGCGATCATGCGCTTCAAGTCGAAACGGATCATAACTGAGAAGCAGGCTATCGGATTCCTGATTCAAGGATGTAAGAATGACAGTGACCTTTATAAGGCACTCCGAGCACAGAAATTCCATAACCCAATGGATATCAAGGAATTCTTCCGCACCTGGTCGACTGGCGAAGAAAAGTATAAGGTCACGAGAGGCAATCGAGTCCAAGATGATTGCGTGATCATCCGATCGGGCCAGATCGAAGAAGTCGCGAATGGGCGACAGAACCAGTTGTGCTCGACGCCGGTGCCAGGATATAATACGGAATTCCCGCCTTTAGGCACCCAAGAAGTGACCTTTGGCAACGGTCGAAATGAAGGTCAGGTATCGTACGCGACGATCGCGGCGATACAAACAGCTGTTCAGGAAGTAGCCAAGCCTGCGATTGCGGCGATCCAAGCATCAGCTCAGCAAGCGGCAAGACCAAAACAGAATCCGCAAGGGAACGCGCAAAGGAATGCCCTGAATGGAGGGCTCGGTGGTCAAGGAATGGCTCAGGCGAATCCGGGCTTTGCTGGCCAGGGATTCAACGGCGGCGGGGGAAACCAAGGAAACTTCCGACCGAACCGCGGACAAGGAAATCAAGGACCACGATACGGGTCGCGAGTAGAGCGCCTGTTCACCATGATCGACGGATGGGTGGTCAATAACGCGCTGACATGCCAGAACTGCATGTACGGCAACCACTACACACAAGCGTGTTCGTTCACGGGAACACCGTGGAATCAGAACCCCAACCGGGTCGTGTATGAAGAATGGTTGATGCTGCGTAATAATCATGGCGGATGGCGCAACGCAATGGCAAATGGTTATGTGCCACAATCACGCCAAGGCGGACGGTATGCTGGTCAAGGTGGCCAAGGAATTTCGCCGGTCAAGGTGGCCAGGCTAACTACAACAATCAAGGAGGCCAGGGCAATTTTGGCGGCCAAGGGAATTTCGCTGGTCAAGGTGGCCAGTGGAACAACGCTGGTCAAGGTGGCCAGTGGAACAACGGAGGTCAAGGCGGCCAGGATAACTTCGGAGGCCAAGGCAACTTCGCCGGTCAAGGTGGCCAAGGCGGAGGAAACGGCGGATATGGCCCGGTTAGAGGCGGCCTCGGAGGTAGAGGCAGAGGCCGCGGCGGAAATCGCGGAAATTACGGCGGCGGCCAATGGAATGGTGGTGGTCAAGGTGGCCAATGGAACGGTGCTGGTCAAGGAGGCCAGTGGAATAATGGTGGTCAAGGTGGCCAGAATTTTGCCGGTCAAGGTGGCCAGGGCAATTTCGCCGGTCAAGGTGGCCAGGGCGACTTCGGCGGGCAGCAAGGCGGCTTCGTCGGTGGGAACCAGAACGGTTTCGGTCAGCAAGGCGGAGGCTTTAACTTCGCCCCGGCGAATGGTGCCGGTCAGGCGCAAGGTGCGCCGGTTCAGGAAACGCTCAAGGTCAGTAGGCGCCGGTGAGCCTACTGATCGTCCGGAACCGAAACCACCGGATATAGAGGAGCAAGGTGCTCCGCTGCAGGCAAGGACCGCAGCGAGAAAGGGATGCTGCGAAAGTAACGCAAAGACCCGGAAAAGAAATCCGAGGATTCGAGAAAGTAACTCGAAATCGAGCGAAGGGGCTCGTAAAGGTCAAGAGAAGGGTGTTAAAAGATTGCAGCAAGGACGGAAGAATTTGACCGAAAGGTCACCGCAGAAAGTAACTGCGGGAAGTCAAGAAAGTAACTTGACTCATCCGGGGCCGACCGAAAGGTCACCGCAGAAAGTAACTGCGGGGAACAGGGCTGATGGAAGGGCATCAACTCTGCATCCGGATCAGCAGAAAGTAACTGCAACGAAAGGTCACGAAAGTAACGTGACGCTGCAACAAGTGCAACCGGGGCCGACCGAAAGGTCACCGCAGAAAGTAACTGCGGGGAACAGGGCTGATGGAAGGGCATCAACTCTGCATCCGGGACAGCAGAAAGTAACTGCAAATCAAGAAAGTCACGAAAGTAACGTGACGCTGCAAGGACAGCAGACCCAAAGGTCACCGCAGAAAGTAACTGCGAGTAAAGGTCACGAAAGTAACGTGACGCTGCAAGGACAGCAGACCCAAAGGTCACCGCAGGAAAGCAACCGCGAGGGAAGAGTGAAGCTACTCTGCGAAAGACGCAAGCGGAAATCTCAAGCGAAGAGGGTGATGAAACACATCACGCGAGATTCCGAAAGTTCGTCGAAAATACGTTTGAAGTTGACGGAATGACCGTAACCGTGCAACGAACGCACGAAGGCGGTCCAGATAGACCGAAATTCCTTGAGCAGATGGCAAAAGTATTTCAAGCAAGAGCTGCCGAGGAAGATCACAGAAGGGCCGTGACTGCGCAAGGAGCGCAAGAGACCGAAAGGTCACCTCAAGCGAGAGTTGAAGAAATGAAAGGTCACGAGAGATTGCCAGTGCAGCAGACTCAAGAGCCACTGAAAGAGAAAGGTCACGGTGAAGTCGCCGATGAACCGAAAGGTCAAGAAAGTAACTTGACTCTGCGAATGGCGCAGCAAACAGTGAAACAGAGCGAAGGAGCACAGCAAGTCTCAGATGACTCTCTCGATGAGGCAAACACTCTACAACAGAAGAATGAGTGGCAAAAAGTTGCTTACAGGCCGAATGGACGGCACGGTATGTGGAAACCAGTTCCTCCGCCACAAAGGTCACCGCAAGATGTGAGAATCTCCAGAGAAGCTTACTGGGAAGAAAGAGAGAAACAAGACTGGCGGATGAGAAAGCATCTCGAGGAAACGGTTAAAGCTTCACAACCGAAAGTACAAGAGTACTGGGAAGAGAAAGTTCAATGCGACGAAAATAACCGTCAGTTTCGAGAGCGGATTGAGAAGGGTGAATTACCGCCTCAGTATGGTGAGAAAGTGCCTTTACAAAGGTCAACAAATGGCGGATTTTTCATGTCAAGACCGGAAAGGTCACCGGACTTAGCGCAAACTCCGCAGAGGGAGAAGTCGTATGACATGACAGAGGCAATCCGGAATGACAATGAAAGGTCACCGCCAAGAACTGACGGATTGTCATCTCAAATCGATCCAACTCGCACGAATAACGAAATTGCGAAGAAAATTACCGATTGGATGAAAGAAAACGACCATAAAATGGTTGTGTACGAAAGGTCACCAGAGAAAAAGAGTGAAGATGACGAGATGACCTTTGCGGATGAAATTACACAAGAGATAATGGCAAAGTTGCAAGAAAAACCGTCCAAAGATGTGCGCAATGAAAGGTCACAATACGAAGTTATTGCGCAAGTGATAAAAGGTCACGAGAACGCACAAGAGAAGGGTTTAATGTGCGAAGTGGCAAAGGTCACGGGTAAAGAAAACGCTGCGAAGGAGCAGGCGAATGTCTTACCGAAATCAAAACGGATCGAAAAGTTCTCAGATGTGCGACCCGACGTACCGAAACGGATAGATCGTTGGAGCTCAAAAGGTCTGATAGAGAGCAAGCACACTGCACCAATTCCAGTCAAGTGTCGAATAAGAGTCTTGAAACTCGAAGATGGAAATTTACCGAAACGAATAGAAGCTTACACCCACGAAGTCAAAATCGGAAATAAAAGGTCATGGCAATGCTTGACACGGGCGCCGAGACGTCTTTGATTTGTCAACAGTTCTGTGAAAGGAATGGCCTCCAGACTGTAAGACTACCACCGAAAAGAAGGTGATGATCAAAGGATCAGCGGAACGTCAGGCTTCGAAGTAACGCACTACTGCGTAGCACCAGTGACCTTAAGAAGGAAAACGAGTCAACACTCGTTTTACGTCAGACCAGCGTCAGACGATGTCCAAGTCTTACTGGGATTCGACTTCCTCGCAAAGAAATTCATCCTGATAGACGGGGATGACGAGGAAGAACGAGAAACTGAAGCTGAAGATGACGAGCCGAAATCCTCTGCAAAAGTCAATGCGGAAAGGTCACCGAACTTCAACAAAGAAATAATTCGGGGTAACGGCTATCCCAGTACCAGAGGCACAGGGATCGAAAGATAATAAACAAAACGAGAACGGTGAAAATCTAATCCCAGTACCAGAGGCACAGGGATTAAAAAAGGCACTGAAAGAAGCAAAAGGTCACTGAAGTCGAAAGGGACACAAAGGTCACCAACGATGGAACAAATCAAGATAATTGATGATCAACGGATGCGGAAAACGGAGCACTTTCGGAGCCGCGTGATAAGGCAAGAGGGCGGATGAAAGGTCGAGACACGCGCCTGCGCAAAGAGGTAGCAGAGAGTAGTCGTCGTCTTACTTCCGAACCACGCTCTGCAGATGAAGAAATCGAAGTCATCGAAATATCATCAGATAACAGCGTAATCGAATTCATAAACGATGACGAATGGACAGATACCGATTCCGGAGAAACGGATAAGCGAGTTATCGTCCGTCCTGAACCGAGACAACGGATGCCGGAAGGAACAATCGCGTCATTTCCCGCAAACCAAGAGAATGGACTGCGGAAGAGAGAGCAACCTCTTGCCATCACGATTGGCACGACAGCGATGACCTTTCGATAGCGCGACCTCAAGAAAGATGTGCAAAATGCATGCAAGAAATGACACAAGATGACCTTTCGGAATGGCCGAAATGCA